ATCACATCTCAAGATTGGGCTCATATTTTTTGCGATTTGTAGACGTTATAGTAAACCAATCTTCCCCATATTTTAAATTTAGAGTTTCCTAATAAAATATAGAGCACAAACCAAATTTTATCGAAATCAGATGGATTTTTTTTTGGCAATTGTACCATATTTCATATTTGTGTATTCCTAGGAAAAATTAGAGCACATGTCAAGTTTCAGCGAAATCGGTGCACGTTAACTATTTTCCACCTGCCTCCATATAGTTGAAACACTGTGCATCGTAACGATTTTACTGGGTTCAGTTCTAAGTAGTTTCAAAGAANGCCTCCATATAGTTGAAACACTGTGCATCGTAACGATTTTACTGGGTTCAGTTCTAAGTAGTTTCCAAGAAACCGGTTAATATCAAATGACCACATATATGCGATCACTTACATAACGCTCAAAAATTATATTTCTTGTCTTAGGAATTTCGAAAATGCCCATTTTTACAGTGGAGAGGAGTTACGTAACTCACATTTGGGAGTTAATTTTCACAATGGCGAATGTGGGTTCATTTACCACTGTGAAAACTGATTTAAGGTCTAATGAAACAATTTTTTATATAGCACTTACAAATCACAAACCGTTGTGGTGATTTATATTTTACTATTTAGTTTTCTAAACAATGCAAACTCAAAATTTTCTAGTTAAGAGAAAAGGAGAAAAAGCCAGAGTAATAGCAAAACTAGTAATTTTTAGAAAAAAAAACCGACTTCAACTCCCATATAAAAAATATATATATATATATATATATATATCTCATGATCCGCTGATCGGATCTTAACCAGATTAGTATGGGACACTACCTTTCCGATGCAAAAAGAATTATCGAAATCGGTTGACGTGGTCCAAAGTTATGCGGTAACATACATAACAAAAAAAAAATAAAAAAAATATTCCGACGAACTGATAACCTCCTCCTTTTTTGGAAGTCGGTTAATAAAATGCCATAATTAATTTAATTGCAGAATAAAACAAGAATTACGATGGTGTGATTTAAAATCCTAAATCTATAGATTTAACTGACATAAACCAACGTCAAAAATGGTATTGTTAATATGCATATAGCTCAGCTAGTTTTACGACAATCCTGAACTTCTGGAGCATAAAAATATTTAGATGATTTCTTTAGCCTGAAAACAGCGGTAAATAGAGATATGTATGATTACTAGAATCGGTTATAGAGCACATTGAAGCAGTATAATAATTCCAACTTTGACAGATTTCCACAAAAGAAACGGAAAGAGCCAGCTTCTCGAATACTTACGGCCGCTTTAATGTAAGGAACCTATAGACAAAATTTGAAGTCAATCGAGGGTGTGGAATTTAAGGGGGGAGAAGGAAAGTCGATCGCTTCGATTAACAATGTTTTACTTGTATGTTTTTAAATTTGACATATTGTGGAAAAATTTTGTTAGGGGTCCTTACTATTTGGCCACCTAAAAACTTTTATTCTCGGATGACCAAGATAACTACGATTTTTACAAAAGACTGTAGTACCATTTTTCTCTTACATTGCTTATTTCACAATATTATATTTCTTTATAGTTTTACTTCCAGATTTTTCAAAAAGTGCAAATTTAACATTTAGCTAATAAGTCCTTTAAATATTTTGTTTATTTCTTGTGATAGATAAAGATAAATAAATGTTTATTTTCTTAAAAGAATACAAACTTCATGTCTTTTATTTAAGTTACTAAAGATGGTAAGTATTATTGGTTTTTAATGTGAAAGAATTTTTTTTTGCACTATTGCAAGGACCAAAAATTCTGTTTCTAGGATAAAAGTGTTCATCCTAAACAGTGACGCAAACAACAAGCGAATCCGAATCTGAGGTCTGTTTGACTTGTACACTCTCAAAATTGTAAGGTGAATTGCGGAAAAAAGGCTAAAAATTCTTAATTTTTTCAATATCCTTGAAATTTTTACGTACGAGTCAAACGGGCCTTAGATTAGGATTCAGGCTTGGTCAAAAGCACACAACAGTTTTTTTTTTTTGTGTCCCGGTGTTACTGTTCCGTTGTGTGTGTTTTGCTATTGCAAACTGAATATGAAAATTAAGTTACATAACCAGATAACACGATAACCTGGCCTACAACATACTGAAGGTATTCAGGCTTATCCGATCATGTGACTCCATTTTTATTTAGTTTCCCAACAATAAACTACATTCAAGAATAATTATAATATAACCAGTTAATCACATAATTACGAAGGCGTCAAGATCCTAATACACTCAGTATATTCGAAAATATTTTAATACAAATACATATTTTTTTGTTTGATGACCGAGAAGACTTAATTTTTTGCAATAGTGCATATTATGTGGATCATTCCCCACAATAATTTTAATATATTTTTTAAAAGACATGAAGATTATATTCTGTCATTTAAAAAGCTGATCAAATAATTTTTCCTACTAGTGTACAAAAAGTGAATACAAAAAAGCAAGTAACTAAATATTAAATTTGCAATTTAAAAAAAATCGAAAGAATATCGTAAAAAATAGGATCCAAAAGAGTACTCAGATCTTAATCATAACATCGTTGATATCTCGGCAATCCGAGGATAAAAGTTTTTAAAGGGGCCCAGTTTCGATAATTGCACCCAAAGTACTTGTTCGTGCACTTATTAATATCGTGGTAACAATCTTCTAAAGAATGACGGGACTTCAACCCTACTTTATTGGAAGAGGGGTACCCACTAAAATTGTATTAATTTAATAGCACTTAGGGTGAAAATAAAGAGAGTAAAAGATTTCACAAATATACATAGTCTCTACTAAAAAAATCTATGTTTTTTAGTAATTTTAAATAATTAATTTTGTAATTTTAAATAAAGTTTAAATAAAATTTAAAATATTTCCTCTAAACGTGTTACTTATTTCTTTAGTAAACGTAAGTAAGTATACAATTATTATATATGTATATGTATTTATACTTGTAGCTGTTAATAAATACAAAAAATAAAAATAAATTTCGAAAAATGTTCAGTCATAATATGCAAAGATATGAATTTAGTATCAAAATCTAAAAATGCTAATCCTTAAAATGTTGAGAATTATTTTGAAACAATTTTCGGACACTTTTGCAATAACATTTTTATATAAATTTGGTTAAACTTTCGACATATTATTTTCGAAGCATCGTTGAGTTTTTTTTTTTTTTTCAAAGACTACGCGCCCACATTTTGTAGTAAAAAGTTTTTCCAGAAAATTTTAGGGTTCAAATGGGGTAATTAAAAAAAAACCGAAGTATCGATTCTGAGCACAAGTATCGATTTTGAGTACAAGTGTCGATTTTGAGTACAAGTATCGATTCTAAGTAGTGGTATCGATTCTGAGTACAAGTGTCGATTTTGAGTACAAGTATCGATTCTAAGTAGTGGTATCGATTCTGAGTAAAAGTGTCGATTTTGAGTACAAGTATCGATTAAGTAGTGGTATCGATTCTGAGTACAAGTATCGATACTGAGTGCTGAGTACTGCTTAGTACTAAGAATCGATCCTTTTTAGAATCGAGTACTGTCGATTCTTTTCAGAATCGAGTACTTACTACTTTAAGTATCGATTCAGCCCAACACTAGTCAAAACAGATTTACGAGTAAGTGCTCAGTGTAAGATATGTAAAGATTTGTCCACTCGGTAAGTAGCTTCCTTAGTAAAATCTTGCTGCTCAACAGACACACATCCTGTCAATAAATTGTATGCAAAATAAAATTAAGTCGCAGAAATAATTTTTTCTTGTGATTCACTGATTATATCCGGCAAGGCAAGGGCACAAGAACTTGGTACATACCTATGTATGTACATATACATATGCGGTGCATACGTTACAAGTCAAGCAACAAGAATTTTGGTTGTCTGGACAGCGCCGGCAATAAAAAAGGCGACTAAAAATGAAGCGAAATAAAAGGTGAAGCAGGGAATTGAAACAGGCAGTTTTAGAAGAGATGATGGTGCTTAGTAGCTGCCAAATTGCTCTGGTGTTGCGAGCGGTTGCCACTATTGGTTGCCTTCATTATTGTTGTCCGACTTGATGCTTCCGCATTCGTTATGCTTTGCTCCTCCAATCTTTGTAGAGGCTATTTTATTGCTTTTCCTCTTTTATAGTATGTAGTTATTATTATTGCAAATGCAGTGGCTTTTGCTGTTATTGCAGGTGTGGTATTGTGCATGTATTTTCTTTTTAGTTAGCTTGTATAAATATTTAAGCAGAACATTTGCAGTTATCCTTAAAATGGACTTAAGGGATTTGAAATTTGAAATAGATTTTTTTTGTGCTTTCTGGAGTTAGTAATAAAAACAAAAGTATATACATATAAAACAATAAACAAAGCACACTCAAGAAATGCCTAAAATATTCAGTAACTGGTTTGTAACTAGTGTATTTCAGCAGCTTGAAATAGTCTGAATTTTTGAAAAACTTGAAAACGGCAAATTTTTTGGGTTAATTAGAAAACGATTGGTCTAAACCAATAAAATTTAGAACCCAGTATGGATAAAAATACGTACTACAATAGTTTCTGGGAAATAGTGTGTCCCACAAACTGTGTTTTTTTTTTGTAGTCGCCTAAACGCTACATTTGAATTCGTCAGTTCCTTTTCAACTTGAGCTGTGTCATTCAGTTGAGAGTTTCTCATTTTGCTGAACCAATTCGAAAAAAAAAAGTTTTTTAAAATTAAATTTGCAAGGTAGGTGGAGAGGGCTGTGATTGGTCAATTTCAAACAGAAGTTAAATGGAGGTTGGGCTTTCTACAGCAAAGATGAAGGAGAGCTTTCGACTTCAATTTCCAACGTCCAGTGAATGGTGCGGTAGGACGGAATACCCTACATAAATATTCAGGAATAAGTAGTAATTTGTTTTGCACCATTTGATACGAAATTAATATAAATGCTAATTTATGGATATATGTACTTATGTATGTTTGTATATTTGAATTTCTCTCATTTATTATTCTAGCATACCTGGTGGCGCCACACCCTGCAATATATCCAATGTCTCCAATCCGACGAATTCCGTCGCTACTGCTGAGCCATGAAGCTGTCGTCTATTCAAACTGCCTGTCATGCCGCCAAGTGCCATGCCCGCACCATAGGCATCATAGTAGCCCATGCCGCCAGTAGTTACAACCACACCACCGCTGCCTATTACACCCGACGAAGTCAATGTGGTAGCCGTATTGACAGCACTGCCGGCGCCGCCACCACCACCACCACCACCACCACCACCACCACCACCACCTAAGATGTTGCAGCATCTCGTTGCGGGTGAGGTCATCGCTGCGGCGGTCGTATCTTGCAGGCAAGTGACATGCGACAGCGGATGTTTGCGATCCAGACTTGCTGCGTTTAGGAATGTGTTAACGCCATTGCCGCCTGCTGCCGACGCCGAGATGGGCAGCAATGGGCAACGCTGTTGCGCGGTGGGTATGATTGTGAGTGGCAGCTGCACGCCACTGGAAATTTCTAGCTGTTGCGTTGGTGGTGGTGGCGGAATGAGCAACGTTGTTACGGGTGCGCCGCTTTCGTTTTCCTTCTCGTTTTCGTGACTTGAGTAAACTGGATCGGAGGAAGGAGAGGAATTGGAATATGAAATAAAAATAAATATGACGGCTTCAAATCTTATTAATGAGTACGTTGGACATTTAATTTTGCATAAAATTTATGTTTGCATGCGTACGAATAAAAACAGTTATAGCCAAATTGCCGTAACTTAAACCTTTGTTGCTCGACTAATTTTTAGTGATACTTACAACTAAGCGGACTATTTATAGCTCCGGTGCAATAGTTTTCATCCAAACTGGTTTTACTTGTACTGAGTTTTTTCTTTAGCGTCCCACTGCTGCTGCTGCTGCTGCTGTTGCTAGGGGGCGCTCGTAAGCTGCTCTCCGCTTTTATAACGAAGCAATAAAGGATAGTAAAACCCTGCAAGAAACAATATGTACATAGAAAAGTATTAAAGGTACTTTCACCGGAGAAAAAGCATAAAATGTTACAGCGATTCAAGTGTGAGTTGAACGAGCAATTTCGGCATTAAAGGTTATTTGAACAGACCTACGTTCTAAATTAGCTGACTAAAATGTGAAGACAATTTGTCATTTATAGTTCAACAGCAATATAGTGTTATGTTTATAAACCCGATTAATAAAGAGGTTTTTGTTGAAATTGTCCAATGCAAGAACGAATATTATAATTTTTGCAGAAAATTAGGCTAGAAGTTAATACCATTCCATTAGTACCAAATTTCTTTTTAGATACATATGTAAGTTT